TGGCGTCCATGAAGACGCAGACCGTCAAATCTTCTCGCGGGTGCGACAGGGGCACCACATGTGCCAACGCGTGTTTCACATCGTTGAAACACTTGAGATGGTCGGACGACCATCCCACGGCAGGGAGTGCAACACGCACTCACGCCGTTTTCTTGCAGCTTCCGGCTGCTTTGGTGGCCACGTCGAGCAGACGTCGCAACGGATCGGCCGCGGTCGTCGGCGGCGACAAATCCACAAGTCCTTGAATTCGGCCTGGGGATTGGGTGATTCCATCCGCCGAAATCACCTTGCCACACCATTCTGCCTCGCGCAGACAGAAGTGACACTTCTTCGGGCTCAACTTGAGTCCGAACTGGGCACAGATGGACAGGACTTGGTCCAACAAGTCGAGCAGCTCATCCGTCGTCTTGGCGGACCCCAGCAAGTCATCGAGCCAGGCCAACAGGCCTCGAAACAGCAGCTCACCAAACGCGTTCGAAATGAAGGACGAAGACGTCATCGAGAATACCCTTGTTGTCATCGGGTATATTCTCGCTTTTCGCACTCCTCGCGCGGGGCTTCACTAAACGCCAAATGAATATGCAAAGCAGTGAGCAACCGATTCGAATTGACGTGCATTGTGCCATTATAGATTGTTTTCTTTCATCAAGAAAAACGATAGCGTTCCCTTTGATCTTTCAGAAAGGGTGGTATTTGTAATGATTGTTGTTGTCTGTGATGGCAGTCAACCAACACCAATGTGCGGTACTGCACACGTTGGGACCGCCACACTACAATATTATACAACAAGCCCGATTGACAATGGTAAATAAACTGCGGATACCAGGTGGTGCCGCTGTCCGTACACTTTGGACGATTCATACGTCGTGGGTTTTGACCGCAAGCCCCTTCGGACGGTCGCACGTCGACAAGTCTGGGATGTACAACTGGTACAAGGTTCACGACAGCCACGTTGTAGAGAGCGCTGAGTTGTCTTTGGTGCCACATAGTCAGGGCCAATTACGTGGGGGAACAATAGGACGAGTGTAGAGGTGGATGGGAAATCGTAGCAGAAGATTTCCGTGTTGCCTTCCTTGATGGGTGGCGTCTGGCAAATTCGGCGGTCATCAGCTCATGGTTGGATGAAGTGTTTAGAAAATGAGTGTTTAAGATTTTGATCTAGGCTGACGCTACACCCATCGATTAGTCAAGATCGTGGTTAAGGTGATGGGGAACCCGCCAGTAGTGAATGCACGAGCTTCTCCATCGCGTCGACAGTAAACACAACACTATGAGCATCCCCACTAACGTTACTGACCTAAACCCTGAAGTCTAACAGCAGATTTAAAGTGGGATCACGCCAAAACGTTTAGCACCTTTCGATTTATTTCACGACCACGTTCGATTCAAGTCAATCCAGCAATATACAGGTGGGTGAGGAAATTGCCCCCCCCCGATTTGGAGATGGGCCATGACGAGTGTCGGAATGTGCGGTGACGTCAGATCGCCTCCCCCCTTCCCACGATCGTCATACCTGGTTGTTGGGCAGGTAGAAGGGTTCGATAGGCACTTATTATGCAACATATACGTTATAATCATGGAATATTCTTGGTGGCCAAATGTTGTTGCAAGAACGGCACTGCTTCGTCGTGCCACGCTGCATCGACAGCCTCCGAGGTGTCGGCGTCGGTCAGGTCTCCTCGGTTTACCCAGCCATGCGACACTAGCGGAAACTCGCGCAGTTTGTGGGAAATGTCTCGGGCAGGTAGCGTTTTCTCGGCGGACCCTCAAGGCTTGAGCCAGGTCGGGTCGTAGCCCGCCGTCAAAAGATCTTGGCGCCGCTGCCTTCCCCGTGGTAGCGCTCCTCAATACGCCAAGAAGGATGGAAGGACACGCCCGCAGTCAGCTCCGTGGAAGAGTCGGCACTGTACTTCGACAATCCAAGCCCCCTGTCGCGGTGCGATTTTGAGCCAATCAGACTCCCTCGGCGAAGGGCCTTATCCACCGACCCATGTCACACCGAGGGAGATGTGATTAGTGGAAACTCCGATAAAACCGAAGGACGAGCCAAACGAGTCAAACCGAAGGACGTGACAGTCCACTCTGTGCCCAAAACGATCCAGCACCCACACACAACCGTGTGAATCCAAGGACCGGTTCAAATGCTTACAACTTGCCACGGACTACCTCGTGATGCCTATTCGCGGGAATCTCCTGGCTCGGTGGAATGGCCACGCCTGCGTGACAGTACACAGAGAGCTGCTTGAAGCTAAAACTGGTAGAATGATAGAACATGGAAGACGGTTTTAGGACGATAGAAAGATAGAAGGAATAGCGTCAGCTAGAGGATAAACTAACTCGACTTTACATTTGGCCTCCAACTCCACACCTGGATTTGGGATTCTACGCTTGCTCGCGCCGCACCTACCCATCGATCAGTTACGGAAGAACCCCGTGACACCCCCAACAGTAACCCACCGCGCCAAACGTGGTGACGCCATGGTTGGCTTGGAAATGCGTTACAATGTTGTGGATTTTGGCTACGAGGAGTTCAAACGGCCGGGCTACAAACCACTCGACAACGTCTGTCGTTGCACGATCGATGTATTCTAGTGCCACATCCACAAGGGCCACCTTGACGAACGCGCTGAGTTGGACCAGTTGTTTTTGGTGCGACCAGAGTCAGGGCCGTAGATGTCGGGGAAGACGAGGACGAGGGTGGAGGTAGTGGCGTTGTCGTAGAAGAAGTCGTCTGTGTTGCCCGCCTTGATGGGCGTGGCGTCGCTCGCGGTGGGGTTGGCAGGCAGCGAATTCGGCGGGCAGCACTCATGGTCAAGGGTGGAAGGCGAGTTTCAAAATGAACCGGGCTGTGAAATTCAAATGAGTGAAAGTGTAAGTGTTAAAAGAGTATAAAGTCAAGATTTATAACAAAATTCACACTTATTCTTACTCCAGAGTAGTATGTGTGTTATGCAATGAATCGTGATTTTCGCAAACGCGATAGAACTTAGATAAATGATGCAGAATCAGATCGCACAAATCTGATAAATAAGCGTCAAGTTGCACCGGTTACCAACGGCTACAGTATCACGGCCCGCCTCCCGTTGGACTTTCTGTGCCCACAGCCCAGCCAGGGAGGAAGCCTAAGCGACATAGTCGTCGACGTAATGCATGTGGGTGTCAATTACGTCCCAAATTTACATTCATTCGACCGGATAAACCGAG